AGAAATGCCTTTTTCTACATTTTCAGAGACTCAGAATTTTGACTTAAGATTATTTTTATATTGACAAATTATTGGTGAAGTTTTAAAGAATATTTACAAATTAGGTGTTCTCATCTTGTTTAAAGTGAGAGATCATATTAGATATGTTCTGGATATAGAACCTAATTGAAGTTTAAAACATCCTTCTCAATATTTCAATTAAACAAATACTAGTTACAAACCATTCAAATATTCAATGTTGTGGTTGGAGGTGCCTGCATCCCACAGTGACACTATGTATAGCAGCTATAAATCATGCTCTGTCCTGAGCCAGTCTCATTAATTCTGACACACCAACCCCATTGCCCCAGATAGTGTATCAATCCATCTCATCCAGTGTCTTCGTCTCCTGTGCTGTCCCTCCATCCTTCCATGCATGTTGTCCTTCTCCAAGGACTGGTCTCTCTGCTCACATGCCGAAAATATGTGTGACGGGCTTCAAAACTCAATGTTCATAGCAGCATTATTTATCATTGCAAGAACATGGAAACAGCCCAAATGTCCAAACACAAACAAATGAATTGAGAAATGATGGTACATTCACACAATGGAAAACTGCAGCACACAGAAGCAATGATTTTGTAAAATATTACCAAACTTGGGAGGAACTAGAGAGCACTATGCTGAATGAACTAACTCAGTCCCAGTAGGATAAATATTATATAAAATCATTATTGTAGAATAAGCATAAGGACCCAAGAGGGGTCAGAGTGGGTGAAAGCAGAGGTATGTGGATGTGGAGAGGGAAGAGGGGATTAAGGATGGGGTTGTACAATTTTATGGGGCAGAGTGAGGGAAATGGAAAGAATTGGTTCTTAAAAACAATGTATTCATATTTTTAAAATAAACTAGCAGAAAATTCAGAAAAGAGTAAAAACACCCAAAACTCAATAGCAGGAGAAAAAGAATAGTCTCATACCATAAACTAGTTGATCAATAAGAATATTAAGGGATTCAAGAACAATAACCCTCTTCTTTTCATTAGAATTGCTAAGCCAAAACTCAAAATGTTGTTGTTGTTGTTATGTGCC